CCCCAAAACCCCAAAACCCCAAAACCCCAAAACCCCTTAGGTTTTATATATAATTGAAGATAATATCATGGGAGTGCATTATGAAGAAACACCTTTTGTGGTGATCTCAGTAATCTCTAACCTGTTTCTACTTTGAGGGCTGATTTGAACTATTTATAACCTAGCTATGCACTCGAGAGCAAAGTACTTTGCTCATAGAAAAAGGCCAATTATGGTGATTCTATCACTGGTTGGGGCCTGAATCGTATGCCTCTACACCAGTCTCTGGTTCTATCCCTGGGCAGAGGCTGTGCTTATTCTGGTCAATATTTTATTGACCATAAGCATCTGGACTCTGTATCACTATTTTAAGGAGACATTGATGTACTTTACTGATAAATATTTGCAAGCTAATCCTGAAGAACTAACCAAAGTTATTGGAGATGATAATAAAGATGGATTCACTTCAAGAATGCTGGAGGAGCCCTACCCCAAGGATAAGATTCCTTTAATCCAGCGCTGGAAGATGTCCGATAGATTCGTTGCTTATCTCATCGTTGTTGAAGGATATGCCAAAGTGTTCCCTTTTGTCAATGTAAAAATAGTTCATTTCAAGAGTGCATTGTTGTTCATGAATATTAAGACACTCTATATGGCATCATTTTGTCTGTTGGCTCCTCTGCTACAAGCTTTCCAATATCTGACTAAGGAAATTATTGATGATCAAGTACATTTTAAGCTTTCTTTATTTTTAAATTTCTTCACAATTTGTATGGCAATTTGCTCCATAGTTTTCATTATTGGATTGACAACCAATTTTAAAAAGACATTAAAATTTGAAAAATTTCGATCACAAGTGGTGTCAGTGAACTTAATGCAGGGTAGTTATCTGATAATCAGAATCTTATTTACATTCTTCCCTCTCAAATACACAGATTATACCAAGGATGAGTCTTTCGTGCTGACAGTAGTGTGATCTTACTCTGTTGTGCTCTGTATCTTCACCCTGCTGCAGCTATATAGCTTTAATGCAAGTAGAGTGATCAATTACATAAATGAGGAGGATAAAATGGCTGCTCCTCCCATTCGATCTAGCTTGACTGAACAGAAGTTCTGAGGGAAATAGACATTTTCTCTAATTTTCACACTATTTTATCTCAAGATGGGGTTTTGGGGTTTTGGGGTTTTGGGGTTTTGGGGTTTTGGGGTTTTGGGG